AGCTTGATAAAACATGAACAAATTTTTGTATTTTCATTTTTGAAAAGGGCTCAAGGAGTGTACTGTGATGGTGGTTTGGTAGCCAATAACCCCACATTGGATCTCTTGACTGAACTATGGGAATTCAATATCGCACTGAGAGGTTCTAATAACCCCAAACATAGGATTTTAAGGCCAACATTGGTTGTTTCTCTGGGCACTGGTTTGAACATCATGGAACAGCACATGGATAATATGGATATTGAATTCCCTGATAGTGTTGGAGCCCTGATCAGGACAGTAAACAACCTGAAAACGCTGTTGAAGCATGTAGTGGAGCTTAGCACTTGCACAGATTTCCAGGTGATTACTAAGAGTATATACAGTACAGTATCTACTTGTGTACCATGTGTGCCCTATTGCATAAGGCGCATGCCTTTCTTTCAAAACACAAAAAAATTATATTTGTGATTTTATTTTATTGTACAGTCAAACCTCTTCAATGAATGAATGAACAGAAAACTTTATTTGCCGCTTTTCAGTGTTCACAAGGTACAACCAAAACTCCCGCATCCAAACCTCTTCAAATCAAACTTTAAGGGCCAAGCAAAAATTTGAGATGGAAGAAGTCTTTCTTCTTTCATGGCAGTAAAGCAATAAACAAAAGGCCTACAGAAAATTCAGATGGTGGAGGTTTGAGGTGGGGAAAGCTTTTGAGTTGGGGATGCTTTCATTGCATTATTGTTTCTTCAGACAGGGACTTTTAAAATATTGACTTAGGGATGTTTGAGTGATCAAGGCTCAACTTTAATATCATTCTTTTTAAAAATCCCCCAATTCTAATCAATTTTACAAATTTCAGAGCTGGATATAACGCATTTTTGTCCAGCCAAAAGCTCCAACAATTCCATTATGCATCAAACTACAGCATGCATTGTGTAAATTATAATTTCTACACTGTATGTGTGCATGAAAGGTTGGTGACAGAGCAAGAGCCTGGTGTGGAATGGCAGGAATCCCTTACTTCCGGTTCAATCCCACGCTCTTCAACTACATGGAGCTCAACGAGACCCAAGATGGCCGCGTCGTGTTGGCCATGTTCGAAACCAAGCTGTACATGATGAAAAACGAATCTCGCATCAGAGAAATGGTCCATCACCTCATCTGAAAAATCCAACCCCCCCCCCCCCCCTCCAAGCGAAAATGGCAAAAGAAATCTAAACGTAATAACAGAAAAGAAAAGGTCTGTTGTTCTTCTTCATCCTCAGTTCAGCACTCAATCATCATCGTCATCGAGAAAAAAAAAGGGTCATCATCACGAGCATTCCTGATCGAAACATTCTTCTCATCGTCATTCACATCCGGAAATGTATTCTTTTTTAAAATCCGTTCTTTTTTGTCCGTCTCTCAACTGCGGTTTGAATCTCGTACAAAATCAGGAGAAAGTTTCTTCTATATTCTATACTGGTCTCGAAACAAAAAATAAATAAAAATAAAATCGGGACCATCACGTTCATCTCTCCCCCCCCCTCACGTCCTGATGCCGAGTTCGAAAAAATAGAAAGAAAAATCCTCTCTCTCTCTCTCTCTCTCTGATGGTCGGCACAACAAGTAGGCTACCATAACTTCGCACAATAGCCGGACGGAAACAAACCAGAAAAAAACCCTGATACAATAGTGGGCGTATCTCATCGCAATAAATAAAAAAAACCAAGAAAAAAATCCCAGCTTTCTCCGCGGTGTCACATGTATATAGAAAAATGAATTTTCCAGAGTACAGAGCAACAAAAAGTGACGACTCCCGGTCGGCATGTGTACACAAAATCCGAGTGGCAAGCAAAAGGTTCAACATCTTTTCCAAAGGAGTATCACAATTCCTTCTTGTTTCGCCCCATATATTCCCCAAGCAATCGAAACGGCAAAAAAAAATTTCATAGAGTAAAAAATAAAAACTTAAATTTAAGGGACCGCTAACTGCGGCCTAATTTCAGGCTCACATAAGCCCCTCATATTTGCTTCGTCAGAAGTGACAAAGAAAAAAAAAGATGGGAAAATACTTTTCCCCGGTAACCTCAGTGCGAGGAAAATTGGTAAACCTAAACGGATATCCATGAAATAAATCTCACAGGCTTCAAAGAAAAAACAAATCTCGGTAACAGAAGGGTAACCCGAAAACAACTTTAAAAAATAAAATTGGTAACATCCGTAGATTTTTTTTGCTCAAAAATCAAATAAAACAACACCCAGCTCGATAAAATAGCTCTTCAGATAAACAAAAAGCTGCATCCTGAAGAAAACAGAATATCTAGTCAAAGCACAAATAACGCGATAAAACAATTGGCATGATGACAGTACATTAGTCTAAAAAAAATTATACGCTTTCAAATTAGTTCTCGACTGACCTATAATGTTAGAAAAATAAGCTGCGAGAAGCACGCAAAAAAAAGAGAAAAATTGCAGAACAAAAACGCTCTGAGTCATGAGTAAAAAAAAAATCAATCCGACAACTGAGTCAGTGGAAACCAAAAAAATTACATACACAACGAAAGAAGTTAATTTCGCCTTTTTTTAAATAGCGACTTAAGCAAGATAAAACATTTGACATTCCCCTATTTCATCGCACTTCTCATCTCAGAAAATGTTCTCTGGAAAAAATAAACAAAAAATCAAATAAATGAGGTCCACTTTTTCGTACCGTTCATGGCAAAACAAGTCCGGTAACGTCAGACAATGTCAAAACTAAAGCATTTAAAAAGGGTAACAGTTCACAATACTTTTGGAAAACAATTTTTTCAGCAATCGGGGTAACCAAAGATGCAAGGATTAGTATTTAAAAAAAATTGAAACATGTGATGGTAACTCGAAGAGGACAGTCGATTTAAAAAAAACCGCAGAGCTACAAATTACATTCTCAACGCGGGTAAAAAAACCAAAAACAAAACAATAGAGATAAAATTCACGAGAGAAACAAAAAAAAAAAAACTCTCAGTTTGTCGGGGGGTTGACTTTGACGAACTCGGGGTTGTCGTAGGCAGTGCCGCCGCCGCCGCCGCCGTGGTGGTGGATATACGTGTGCGCCGCCTTCCTCGAGTAGGACCGGATCCGGAGGAACATGAACGCCGCCACGAGGGCCGCCACGACTAGCACCAAGAGCAGCATGACGAGTCCGGCTGCGAAGCCCGGCAGCGACATGCAAATGGACTTGCCGGAATCCAGGTCCAGGCTGGACGCCACCACGACGCCGGCGTCCGTGCCGTTGTTGCCGGCGTTGAGGTTGAACGCCACGTCGCCGGGCGCCACGACCTGGATGATGCGCTCTGTGGAAATGTCCGTCATCTCCACGGCTTCTCGCTTGTAGATCCGGGCTTGGATCACCTGAGATTTCGGTCAACAACAATAATACAGTATTTAAAAAAAAGGAAGATGAGAATAACGAAAAATAAAAAGAAACCACGAGTAACGGATATACTGTACTCCCCTCGCTGCTGCTTGAACATTAAAACACGAGGGTTGTTCCAGTTGGACGCGACCTTCGATATTTCTTGAGTATAGGTGTGATTTTTTTATTTCTTTCAAATGCATGGACATAGCCCAGGATGTTTTGTTCTAAGGCAATAACCCACGGACCAGCGCAATTTCCATAAAATTTTTCGCGGACCGGCAAATAAAAAAAATATAATAATTCTGCTGACCGTCAAAATTTCAAAAAATTTTACAGACTCACAAAAATTTGACTTGAAAGACATTATGGCAGGTATTTAAAGGTTTTGGCTTTTTGCAAAAATTGAATTAAGCACAGTTATAGCTGAATGTCATCAAAGAATTGGAAAGCTGGGCTTGAACAAAGATTCCTCGGAATGAAAAAATAAATTAATATTATCTTAAAAATTAATAACATTTATTTCAGCAGGTGAACATTTGTCTGAGGTGTTAACAGAAAAGCCAGCCGTTATTTTCATCGGATAATTTCAACTGCCATAGTCCTTACAAAATTTTAGGAAAAGATAACATAAATTCATCCCTACTTTTGATACTTGTATTATGCTGAAAATTTTCCACGGGCCGGCAAAAAACGGCCCTTCGACCAGAGGATGAGGAACACTGTTCTATCTAAGGTTGTGGAATTTATTCTTTTTTTACAAATTTTTTGAAATTTTTTTTCTTTTCTGCACATACCCCATGATGTTGCATGTATGCATGGTTATGGCCTATGGGACAATAAGTCGAACAGCAGAAAATGGAACAGCAAGAATAATTCGCTTAGTTCCTTTTTTTTAAATTTTGCTGATATACAGTATTTTTATTTTATTTTAAATATAAGCTCTGGAAAACGTGTACAACTTTTTGTGCCTAGATTTTCTCGTGTTAAAAATTGATTCTAATTTTTTTTCATTTTCCTGATTTTAAAAATGGTACTTGGAAAAATAATTGGAAGATAAATTCGCCCATGCAAATTTTTCGGGGAACTCTTGATGCAGAGCGAATACAGTACAGTATATGGATGGAAGCGAGCAAAAGTCACCTGGCGCTTGACACGATGAGTGTTGTCTGCTGTTTCGGCGAAGTCCTTCATGGACCTGGGTCGACCCCCGATGAGGCTGACATCCGGTCCCATGTCCAAAACGGAAGCGAGTCCCTCTCGCTTCACTGAGGAATAGGGCCGGAGTTGCGGCGGTGCTGGAACCCTAATCCCGGGAGCACGAACCTGCTGCTGGTTCGGCTGCTGTGAGGGCCGAACACTCACTGGCACACCTTGTTGCTGATTCTAAAAAGAACAACAACAAAAATTGGCAAATACTTTAACATACTGTTACAATCTCTTTCAAGTCGAATTCAAATGAGACTCCACCAAATAAAAAGAGTTTTTGAAAAAGGATACTTGGCTTCATTCGGTTATGAATACCAACGGAAATAATTTCATGGATAAATTATTAAAGCTGTTTATTGCAGTCACATTTACTTTTATCTGTCTATCAAGGCCATTTTAAAATATTTTACAACTGAATCTCTTTCAATAAGTCAGAATTATGCAAAATTATTTTTGATGAATTTGGCTAGAGACGGAAATTCTGTTCAATTTCATTCGGTTATGAATATCACCGGAAATAATTTTTTGGATAAATTAATAAAGCTGTTTATTGCAGTCACATTTACTTTTATCTGTCTATCAAGGCCATTTTAAAATACTGTACAGTTGAATCTCTCTCAATAGGTCAAAATTATGCAAAATTATTTTAGCAGAATTTGGCTAGAGACGGAAATTCTGTTCAATTTCATTCGGTTATGAATATCAACGGAAATAATTTTGTGGCCAAATTATTGAAGCTGTTTATTGCAGTCACATTTACTTTAATCTGTCTATCAAGGCCATTTTAAAATAATGTACAGTTGAATCTCTTTCAATAAGTCAAAATTATGCAAAATTATTTCAGCAGAATTTGGCTAGAGACGGAAATTCTGTTCAATTTGCAATGGCTGCAGATAGCTTCGTCACATTTTCTTTGTCTATACGAAAGTAATGCTCCATAGTTTAAAATTTAGCGTTCTATAAATATTTTCTTTCAGTAATCACGGTAATTTTCCGCTAATCTGACCAGGAAAGGAAGGAAACAAATTTTCATTTATTACGTGATGGCGTTTAATTTGAATTAAATTTCCAATATCGCCAATATTTTTATGCACAACACTAAATATATAGCTCTATGCAACTGATTTTCAAACTTGAGCGATGAAAATAAAAAAAAAACAAATCCTTTCTTACCAGGTTCTGAATGTTGACCGGAAAGTTATTGTTGCCGCCGTTGTTGTTGATTTTCACCGGCCCGTTATTATTATTATTATTACTATTGCCACCATTATTATTATTGTTGTTGATGTTGTTGTTGAGTTTCAGTGGCGGCTTGACGAACGCCGGGCTCGGAGACGGAGAAACAGGCGGCAAGGTGCCGCTCAGAGTCGACGGAGAGGCGGCGATTTTCTCGTTCGTCTCGGAACTATCTGCAAACTGGGTCTTTTCAGCGGAGTCCTTGCGACTGAGGAAATCGTCGTAATTTCCAGCGCCGCCGGGTCCGCCCAGGGGGTTCCGCGGGTCCAAGTAACCCGGTGGCGGAGGTGGTGGCCCGCCGGGACCGCCGCCTCCGATCGGCCCGGGCAGGCCAGGTGGGCCACCTGGCCCGCAACGAGGCTCAGGGCACTGGTTCCTGCACACTTGGATCACGCATTGGAAGTGCACGTTCATCGAG